TTTGTACATCTTGGCTTGGGTGAGAGAATACTTCATTGAGATGGACTTGACTTGACTTATTGAGTGATGCAACTGATTCTCAGATTGCCCCCCCCAAATGAACTTTTAAAACTAACCTTACAATGCATATCCACCCTCCATCTCAATGGTTTAACACCACTGTTGTTGTGGAAGCTGTTGTTGCCCAGGTGTAATGATTTGTTTACTACATCCTGTTTTAAAGAGTCACACTCCATGTTCAGCTAAGGTGAAAGTCAACATGTGAGAAACAGTACTGTCATTTCTTATATCCCCCACAAGGGGGCAGCACACACATCCACTGTCCTTGAATGGACTCTATGCAAGAATCCCAATGATGAGGGCAGTATTTGTGTGGTTTTGCACTATTCAAAGTGTTGTAAATAATTTTGTATCGAATGTTAATGTCCTTAATTCTTCTATGGTCCTCTATATATTTATTTGCATTCTGTGTAATTCAAGGTAGTCTCTGTGAGATGGCTTTGCTATTGTTCAAAATAAATCAAATGTTGCGAAGTAAATCATGGTTCGTTGTTACTGTTCTTTCACAAGACTTCAAATTAATGGAAAAATAACTTCATCTTATAAAGTTTTGGGGTTGGCAAAGATAACTTGGAAATAAATGAAAGCATTCACAAGACGCATGTCACATTTGCATTTCACAGCAATGGTGGTGAGGTAATAAAAAAACAAAAAGCAACTTCAAATCTTTGGACACAGAAAAAATGTGGAATTAACCTTGTGTTACTCAGACTGAATCTGGAGGTGTTTGAATACTTTTACACTGAAAAATAAACTTGCTGTTCACATGTAATCATCATTCTGTTTGTGAAAGGCTACCATGCCATGATATTGAATTGCAAAGTCCAAAACTTGTAGCTTTTTAGAGATATGTGAAGATGTGCACTTGATGCAAACAATATTTTTCAGATCTGAGTTGAAGAAATATACGTAAATCTTTTAAGCAAAATGCACCAAGACCAGTTGTCCGTGTTTAAATGTAATAGAAATACCTTCATCTCCTGTTGCTCTCCTGTGCTGTTGACTGTGCTGAAGGCTTGGTGTTTGTTATAAAAGCAAACCCAGAACCAGTTGAATTCAGCCAGACTTTTTTTTGTCTTATCGTACAGTGAGTGTGGAAACAGATCATGTGTGGCCTTATCTTCTGAGGTGTTTCGCTTCCTCTATGTGGCTTAACACCACCATCTAGTGGACAATCTTTTATCAACAGACACTGCAGTAGAAAACTACACATTAGAATGGACATTTCAATTTTGATCAGTGGAACAGAGGGCATCCATGTATTACACAAGCCCTGGATGCTTTGTTTTTATTTAATTAAAATTAACTATAATTGTTTAATAAAATGTAGTAGTTAATTTTTTTTTTTTAGTGAAATTAACATTGTCTTTGGTTTAAGATTAGCACATCTACCCTCCCCTGAAGAAAAGGTTAGGTATGTTTTTCAAATGTTGAGGTCAAGATTTAGAAACATGTAAGTGATGCAGTTGCAGTGAAACACACAGGAGTCTATCATTCTATTTATTCCATTCTATACTAAAAAGCAGCAGTGACATGCATTGCAACAGTCCTGAAGCTAAACGGCATGCTGTCCTGTTCAGGTATCCGGGTTATTTGATGGAGCCGGTTCTGCAGTGGTGCGCTGGTATGCACAGAGCTGGAACACACCTGGAAGACACCAAACAGCAGGAGTTAGTTAAGTCTAGCTTCCACTGACCCAAGAAATGTGCAACAATGGAATGCTTTAGATTATATTATTGCTGACAAGGATTGTAGTCCCAACTGTTAACTCCCATTTAACATTATTACAAAACATTAAGAATAACTTCACACAGTAAATACCTGCTGTAAAAGCCAAAATGATGGCCACCCAGGCAATGAAGTAGGACCAGGAAAAACGCCAGTCCAAGAAGCGTTTGCCAAAGAACGTGACGGTCACTCCGGTGTAGATCGCCAAAGCCAGCAGAGCGAGAAAACCTTTAAAAATGGGAGGTAAAGTTAAAAATGCACAATATTGCAAAAAAGATCTCGGAAACGTTTAATGCAGGGAAAATGGAAACCAGATAAACATGTTTTGGCACTGACTGTTGATTTCACTTATGTGTGTGTTACCTGACAGGACCAGGGCGATGCCCCCCGTGCGGACCCTCCGGTTCTTGGTGCCGTTAGTGAAGGCGCTCAGGCCCAGCACCACACCGGCGAAGCAGCTCAGCACCGCCAGCAGCATGAAGGCCCGGGTGGCATCCCAGAAGGCTGGACACAAACAAGACCAACAAGTCAGGACCACGCACACATCAACACACAAACACTAAGGCCTGGATTTGACAGAAATACAGATTTCCTCTGCAGTACTGTGCAGTTGGGCATTTTACACTATAAGACCATTTTCTGGATGTATTATGTAGAATTCTCGTCTACTTTAATATGCTCTTCTTTCATTTTAAAACATTTTTTTAAATCATTTAATTGTGTAGATAATTGTGTTGTTCTGATTACAAATGATTAACATTCTGAACAAGACAATTCCTCTGCTATTCAAATGTTATCATTATTCTGTTTGTGAAAGGCTATCATACTAATCATTTTAATTGCAAAGTCCAATGAGCTTTTTAAAGATACAGTATGTGTAAATGTGTGGCAACAATTATTTTTCAGATCTGAGTTGAAGGAATATACATTGCAAAATGCAGCAAGTCCAGTTGTCTGTGGCTAAGAGCTGAGTTTTAAATGTAATTGAAATAACTTAACATTCTGACATTTCCTCAGAAACTCCTGATTGGTCCATATCATACTTGTTCTCTTGTTTGAAGGCCTCTGAAGTACTCACCCACAGTTATGGTGTGGGCATGGCATTTGTGGTTGATGCAGAACCTCCAAAGTCCCTGATTAGCAGAACTACCCGAGTACCGATACTGCATCCAGAAATCAGTTGCCGTAGAAACAATGAGGAGCACAAGGGCAGCTAAACCGCAGAGCGTGCCCCCTCCCGCTAAAGTATACAGCATCGTGGAGAAGCCAGGGGAAGCGCTGTCCTCCTAAACATTCAGCAACTGTTCAGGGAGGACAGGGCAGAACATGGTCATTATATAAACACCACACTCAAAGATTTACTCATGGATGTCCTTCATGCCAAATATATTCATTATACATCATTATACAGTATATCTGGTCAAGTTTTCGTGACAATTTTGGAAAACAACGTATTACATTTCCTGGATGTGCTACAGACTGAAATCATCTGTCATGGGATGTGTCCATGATAGCTCTACTGACCTGCTGCCTCTCTTTTCCTATCTGAATCAAGTGCATTTATGTGTATGTCGTTTCAGACAGAGGTGGAAGAACAAAGTACTCAGATCTTGTACTTGAGTAAAAGTACCAGAGTGTACTCTGTTACAAGTAAAAGTCCTGCATTCAAAGCGTCACTCAAGTGAAAGTAGAAAAGTATTAGCGTCAAAATATACTTAAAGTACCAAAAGTAAAAGTACTCATTACGCAAATTGGTCCATTTCAGAATAATGTGAATGTATTCAAGGTGTCCCTAAAGTATTTTTTAAGAGTTGTTTATATTATACATTGTTAATCCAAGTCTGTTAAGTAAATAAAGGTACAAGATACATTTACTGGAATAAAAGTACACGATTTAGCTCTGAATTGTAGTGGAGTAGAAGTACAAAGTATAGCATAAAATGGAAATACTCAAGAACAAGTATCTCAAGTTGTACTTGAGTACAGTACTTGAGTAAATGTACTTAGTAACTCTGGTTTCAGAGCAGACAGAATAGATTGATTACACTCCAAAACTAAATGTACAGAAAGAAACCTATTATTTAAAACAGTTAAAAAACAATAGCAAGACTGCTTTTGGAATTACCATAGGCATTTCCCATAAAATACAAAAGTCAAAGATTTGACGGTAACATTTCAATCATACATGCCTGCGCGTTAGAAAAGAGAGTGAGCCATTATTCAGTGTCGCTTGCAAATTGTTCACTGCCAGCAAAGCACTTGACCCACAGCGCTGTGTAACAAAAAGCTTGCCTATCAGGCAGTTCAGAGCCATTGTTCACCACTAATTCCCCCCAATGCACCACAAACTAATCTTCCAATACTGAGCAACTGAACTGTCAGCAGTGTGGCTCTCTGTCACACAGCCAGCAAACCAATACACTGATCCTCAACCCCGTAATCCTCAATGCTGCTCTTGGAAAAACCCAAATACCTAAATCAAATCCAAATAAAACGTACAAATCTCAATTTCAAATGTGTCAAACTATGTTGTTGTTCGTTCTTTTAAGGAAACATGAACAGACCAGGAATAGTTATTTCGCTTTTCCCTAGACTTGCTGTTCATCTCCAAATGTCCTTTCTCTCTTTGGTCTCTGTAGATCCGCTTGTTCTGCAAATCAGTTTCTCAGTTGTTGATTTGCCTTTGAAACCCTGAAAGTAAGAAGTATCTTCCTGGATGTACAGAAAAAAACAAACAGATTCAAGTTTTGCTGATACCTCTGGGTTGGCCGGTGTCTCTCCAGGGTTGCTGGCTGTGACTGTGTGCCTATCCTTTTTAAGCCCTGTACCCCTGGCTTTCATTGTCCAGCTCACAAAAGGGGGAATGATCCAGAGCAGCATGTGAGGGACGCTAAATCCCTGCTAGCGCTCTTCCCTGCAGTTACCTCTTGCACTTTGTCTTTCTCTATGTGCCGTGCATGACTTCTTCTCATTCCCCTCATCTTGAAATGTTTTCTTAATGTTTTCTGCAAAGGAATTGATACATTGGCTGGTCCCAATCCCCACAGTTTACAGAACAGGCATTCACAGTCCTTCTACACATTAAAACACATGCAATTACCAGGAGCAGAACATATGTTTGTGTGTGTGTGTGTGTGCATAAGTCAGTAAAATGTAATTCAAATGTGTGCCCTCTATTTGGCCAAAATGCATACAAACAACAGGAAGTCTCGTGACACTTGATGTCTTTATTCCATCAGGTAATTTACACCTCCAAAGTGTAACTTAAAAATACCTTTATTGATTTAGCAAGAACAACATGTGTTATTAGACAGCCACTATTTGATGTTTTTGTACAGTTTGAACCCCATTGACCCCTTGGCATTTCATCATTTGTGGACACACATTGTTTCTAACTGCACAGGTTTTAAATGACACTGGATATGCCTTTGTGAGCCACAGATAATGAAAAATATAAAGCATGATAGCCTTTTCTCTCACATCGATCTGGTGTCTGCATAGTCTCAGTAAAAGTGAATATACAGTTGAAGATGTGTGTGGATTTGTCATTTCACATTGTGCAGTCCAGCAGCATTCATCTCTTCATATTTTACTTTAGCCTGCTAACTTTTTCTGTTATTTATTTAAACATTTTGTATTTTGAAAAATATTTAATTTTTGTTGGCAACAACTGCATATCACCTCAATTTGAATGTGATCTGAGGAGTTGATCAGTGGTTACAGTATTCTACTCTTATTTCAACTTTCTAAAATGTCACAACCAACATTTACTTATTTCCATGTTGCAATTTATCTATTTAATTCACAAATGAGTAGCCATTGATGTTACAAACTTGAACATACTGTATAGCTCTAATTACTGTTTTCCCTTTTTAATAAGTGCGCAAAACTGCCAATGAGTGATCATTTTCTACATTACAGTGACATTACAATGTTTTACAGATGACAAGCCTTATGACAAAATACGTAATAAATAAATAAATCTCTCAATCAATCCAATTCACACATCCAAAAATATCTACAAATGTCACAAAAAAGGCACATCATGATATGCATAACCAACCGTGGCTTTTCTTTCCACAACATGAAGAGTCCAGCTTACTGCCTCCTACAGAAACTAGAGACAGCGAACGCTTCATGGTTCACCAAACGCTCCTTCCCTTCTGAAGTAACATTCATGTTTTGTACCAAGTACGGACTTATGCTGAATAAAATGTAGTTTAGTATTGTGAAAAATAAAACGAATCTAACTTGCAGGTGTGCTTGCAGTGAAATTACTCATGCCTTAAAATACAGGCATTATCAGTCATCTTTATATTCTAACTTTATCCACACACACACAATTGAACACACACACAGACCGACAGTTAACTCGGACACGCAGCAGTTAGTGATCCCTCGCTGGGATGTGAGTACTCTTGTGCTTCCTGCTGCGGCCCACCAGTGATCCTCCAGTGAACGGCTCAGGGGCCGGGGGCCCAGAGCACGACAGTTCGATCTGCAGAGGAGGAGAGGAAGGTCCGATCGTGGGGGTGCCACCTACACTGAATCACCTTGTCCCAGTGCTCGCCTGCCACCGTCTGAGGAAGGGGCTTGGTTAGGTCACCTGGGTATGAGAAAGAAGTGGCAAACAGTGGGTTCAAACACCAGAATGTTGTTTTCAATTGACATGGTAGCAAAAGGATCAGATATATGGGTGTAAAAGTGTGAAACTCTTTTAAAAGTAAGTGGAAATTACAATATTTCTCATGACTTCATAAAAAATCCAAAACACCAACTGACCCCCTACCAACCCCAACGGCCCCCCAGGCTACGGAATTCCCTCCCCCAAGATCTCTGTGATTCCGAGTCCCTCACATTCTTCTAGTCCTGCCTCAAAACTCATCTCTTCTCCTCTGTCTACTAATAGACCCATTAATCCATGCCTTTTGATTGTCTCTGTTTGTCCTTGTCTGTTTGTCCTTGTCGGTTTGACCCCAACCCTCCCTTATATTGTTTAATGACTTTGAGTGCCAGAAAAGCGCTATAAAAATGTAATTTATTATGATTATTATTATTATTATACGGCAGACACCGTTTTAAGTAAATAATGGGCAAGTTTTACCTTTTCAAATTGGATTATATGATCAGAAGTTTAGTTTAAGTGACTCATCTTTTTTCATTCTGAGTCTACTTTGTCACACACCAGACATTGAGTTTATTTCCCGCCCCGTGCAGACAGCTACCTTGAAGGTCGCTGATGATGACTTTGTTGTCGTAGGAGCCGGTGAGGAGATGGTGGGCTCCGGGGGAGAAGCGCACTGAGCGGATGTCGCTGCTGTGCGGCCTATACGTCTGGACCATGCGGCCTCCTCTGATGTCGTACAGCATGCAGGTGCTGTCCTCCTGACCTGAGGCCAGCAGGCGCCCGCTGGGGTCCACCGCCACCGTGGCAACGGCACTTCCTGTGAGAGACAGAGAAAAAATGGACTGCTTACTTTTTGATTTTTCCTTAAAAATATTTAAACTCTAAAACTCTGAACTGGGGATTTGTTTATCTCATTGAGCCTCTACTGCTAATAATTTTATTTATTTATTTTTTTTTTTAAATGGGACAACTAACTTGGTCTAATCTAAAGTGTCTATTTTAAAAGGATTTCAGAATTTGCACTTTATTTATTTATGTACTTCATTACCAAGGTTATTTACTTATAACCAATTATTTTGTTACTGTACATTTGTATTTCAACATGTATATTTTCTACTTTTTTTAAATGCTATTTTATTTCTATTTGAGATGTTTACATTTTGGATTCTTTATTTCTAGTCTTTTAATTTCTCTAATGTACAAATGCCTTGTCTTTTTATGCTGCTGCAACGCAAACATTTCCCAAATTGGGATCAATAAAGTACTTCTTATTTCTTATCTTATCAAGAGGAAATCTAAAATACAGGCAAAGTACAGCAATATTTAAAAAGATACTATAAAATACTATGAGAAATCGGTAAGATATAAGCTGTGCAGTTTAATAAGGACATGTGTGAAGCTGTGCTGTGTTCCAGAAATCTTCACGAGGCATTAGTGCCCTCCTGTGGGTGAACTGTGGTACCACACCAACCTGCAGCAGTGAGGTGAAAGTAGTTTGGACTCACCTGAGCCGTGCAGAGTTGTTCCCACCACCCGCACACAGCTGGGCACCCGCAGGTCCCAGAAGCGCACCGTCTTGTCCTGAGAGCCAGAGGCGATCATCCACCCGCCCCACGTGTACAGAGTCAGAATGTGACCTGGTCAAACAAAAAGGGGACGTGTTAAATAATTAACATTTTCAAGGATTCAAGGCTTTTATTGTCATTCGTACATAGCTACAGTGTAGTTATGACAATGGAAATCTTAGGTCACAGGCTCCTCCAACAGTGCAACACAATAAAACAGATAACAGTGCAAGTAAATAAAATAAAATAGAATATAATAGAAATAGTGCAGAATAGTCTATATACTTGGTAATATACAATATAAGTAATTGGAATATTGATATATATAAGTTGCAAACAGTTGAATGTTATGGTGTTTAACAGTCTTGGATTTTATACCGTTACCTTGTTTTACCAAGTCTTTTGTGTTTACAAGATGATATAGTGTTCATTTGTTTATTATGATGAAAAATGCAGATACTGTTTATGCATATGATCAACCATGTCTACAAACTGATTTCTTAAATGTCCTGTAGGAGCTGTTGCTAAGGTACCAGTGTGTCCGCTGAGGGCGTGCAGGCCCTGTCCCCTCTGACAGTCGGTGGTGTAGATGTTGCAATCTCCGGCCCCGGCACTGATCAAGATGGATCCTCCGCTCTCGGGCCCCTCCATGAAGGCCAGGTCCCTGATGGTGCCGTCATGCATGCTGAACTCCAGGTCCGGGCCTTAATCAGAGGAGAGGCGAGGGTGAAAACAGTACCATAATCTCAATATCCTTAGAGAGAGAAATAACTTGACTAAGGTATTCTTCCTGAAATTGTATTTTACATTCTCATAGGTATATCATCCATCATTAAAACATAGTTCTTTAGGTTAAAGTGAAGTTGCTGTGAAAATGGACACAACTCATTAGCTACACCCCAAAAATGACCTGTTACCTGTTGCATTGCAGCTGTCTGCATTGAAAGGCAGGACTTTGACAAATTTATCATTGGACCCAGTGGCCAGCAGCTGTCCGCAGTGGCTCCAGGCGACACAGTAGATGGAACCCTTGTGGTGTTTGTTCCTCCTGAAGCGCACCGCCGGCTGCTTGACTGCACCAGAAGCACTACTGGAGCCAAGAAGACAAGACAGATACACTTAGAAGGTGCGAAGGCAGGCATTCTAAAATCTTATATAGTAATAACAAATATTAAACACAGCAGAGACCAATGAAGCATTATCAGTTTCTCTGGTTTTACTATTTATAGGTATGTACTTGAGTCAAATGTATTTTATTCTATAAACTACTGACAACAATTCTCTGTGTTGGAATTCAAAAGACACTGGAATGGAATGGCTGCCATACATGTAGAGACTGAGATTTAAGAACAATTTGGAGTTGTCAGTCGAAAAATAACTTTCTTATGTGTGAAGTTGAACCTAAACCAATTTTCTCCAATGTGTCTGTTTTTTGTCAAAAACATTCAAAACAAAACAGGAATTTAGCAGTTTCTCCATTGTGCTTTCTAGGTAATAATCAACACACAATGCCCAAATCCGCTGTGTACTTGAATGCACATTACATTGATATCCATGCTGTAGGTTAAGTCAAAACACTTTTTGGCTTGTTAGGTTTACTTTCTATAAACACTCTTTAGTAATATAATTTAGCATGTAAATAATCTATCATGTACTCAAATGTAATAGTTTGATCTGTAGGTTCCAGTAGAGGCTCCTACCTGGGGGAGAGTGTTTCTGGGTAGGCACAGACTCTGAGGGTTTTAGAGTTGGAGCCGACGGCATAGAGCGCTCCGGAGGGATGGAAGGCCACGGCGCGCACCGCCTGGGTGTCCTCCAACTGGTTCACCCTCACAAACTGCGCTTTGGACTTCCCCGGCTGCACAGGATCACAACAGATGATCTTTTGAACTATGATCTACATAAACATCAGCATATATTTTTTAAACGCAAATTCTCTCCGGGTTAACCTTTAGGATACAGCTCCAATAAATGTGTAGATATTTTTTATGGCATTAACTTTACAGTTTGGAACAATGTACCTACCTATACTACAATAACTATGATAATAATATACAAGTAATCCTTGAGCAGTTCACCTCTTGTGAGTTACGTGTTGCAGAGCAGTCAGAATCATCTTGCACTGCCTCTCTGATCTTCTCAGCACTGAAATGAAAATGCACACACACATGCAGTCAAAAAGGTAGATTTATTACTAGTACAAATTAATTTGAAGAGATTTTGACAGGAAAAAAATTACATTATGAAAATGTAAACCAAATATGACGCTAGCTCTTGGGAGTTGTAGGGTCTTACCTCTGACTGGTAGGGACGGGGGACTCTCCGAGGGAGGGCAAGCCGTGGCCCCCGGTTCTTAGAGGGGTGCTGCTGTCCCTCTTACCTGGCTTGTTTGTTGGCGGCCCAGTGTCTGGGGTGTGCTGGGCAGCGGTGCTTTGGGGGCTGGAAGTGTTTTCTGTCAGTCCATTCCACTGCGTCGTCGTCACCTCATCTGCTCTGTGGTCAATCCCCACATTCATCTCCTCCAACTTCTGAATGGATCTGAGCAAAAACACAATCTCACTGAAGTTGTGTTTCATTCATTAAATCACTGATGTTGACTCTTTTAAGGTGACTTGCTCACCTGCTGAGGAAGGTTTCAGTGAGGTTGTTTTGGGCAATGTCCTGCGGCTTCACCCCTCCCTCCAGCAGCATCTGTTGGTAAAGTTGTCTCTGATGCTGCTTCTGCTCCAGATGCTGCTGCACTCGGAGACGCTGCCGGTGATACTCCTGGATGTGCTCTGAGGACTCGGGATGCTGGACAAACACACATCCACACAGCGAGGGGAAAATTAACTTATACCGTGGGGCTTGTTTTTGCAGAAGATGTCGAAAGAACTCTCTAGCAACTTCCCCTGAGCAGGCCTTTAACCTGAATAGCAGAGTAGTTATCATCGCCTATCAATATTCTTTGCTTCAATGCTTGGCAGTTCTCATTGCCACAACACACACACACACCAGATTATAATAGACCAACTCTCCCCGAGAGCCTCTACTGACAACTCTTCAACTCCCAAGGCCTCGTCCTCCATCATCCATCCCATAAAAAGTTTTCAAGGACCATCACACACACACACACACACACACACACACACACACACACACACACACACACACACACACACACACACACCACACACACACACACACACCACACACACACACACACACACACACACACACACACACACACACACAACACACACACACACACACACACATCACACACCACCACACACACACACACACACACACACACACACACACACACACACACACACACACACACACACACACACACACACACACACACACACACACACACACACACAACACACACACACACACACACACACACCACACACACACACACACCACACACACACACACACACACACACTACACACACACTACACAACACAACACACACACACACACACACACACACACACACAGCTACTTTGCTCCTGCATGGGATGGGTTCTGGGATGCATAAAGATGAGCGATGATGGACAGCGGGACATCTCGGGTGTGACCCCCCCCCCCCCCCATCAAACCAGGTGATCTGCCTCCGGTGTCCATGACCTCCACTCTCTTCACTGGGACAGGGTGGGACCCCGTGGACAGAGGTGGGGGGAAATTGGGGAAGGATTTATGAGGCAGTGGATACAAGGTGGTTCAGGGGGAATGTATTCTAAATCTCTAAAATATGGAGTAATGACCGTGGAGGGGAGACAGACTTAACATCTTACTCTGACCAGACAGACGTCCATGGCTTTTTACAGTCTTCACATAAGTCATGAAACCAATTCAGCCTGAGCAACCAACAGTGATAGACACTCCACAACTCCAAAACATATTGGGCTTTACATTGCTCTGAAGGGTTCATATGAACCAGAACTAGTCTCAACATATACAACAAGTTACTGTTTAGGGTTTGCCTTTCTTATTACCTCATCTGTGTCCGTGCTGCAGGGGGGCCCGCCATCTTTTCCGGGGGTCAGAGGTGTGCGAGTTGTTTTGGGTCCATCCAGCCCTTGTGGTTGCTTCCTATAGACAGGAAACAAATGGAAATGTAAAGTGAACTTAAGGAAAATAAAATAAAGTAAGCAGCACAAATAAAATCACAGTCTCTGTATATTTCACTTGAGAATACACTGTATGTAGCGAAAGGAACGGAATTGAATGATTGCTATTCGTTTTGCAAAGTTTTGTGACCAAGTCATATGCCAATGCCAGAGCACTTCAATACAATTAGACATGCTACATTTATTTTACTAAAATAATTATGTTTTAATGTTAATGTTATTATGCGGATTTGATTAATTGTAATCATGGCTTAAATTGCATTACATACTGCAAGACAAATTCCTGTAAAGGATGAGCGATCTCACTTTTGAACCAGTTGAGAACATTATTGTTTCCAGCAGGTGGAGCCATAACCTAACAACAGTGAGACGCACTGCTCAGTTTAAGGAGTTCCCTCAACTCATTTATTACATCCCTGTGTTCTGCATTACTTTACTTTTTACTTATCTGCATTTCCCTTGTAGAGCAAATATGTCAGCTCACCTTTACTTTTAATACTTGTATGGACTTTAAACAAGTTTTGCCTAATTTCCTATGAGACCCTACTGAATCAACTTTCAAATCAGTAAAATGAGTTTCTATAAGGACAAGTATTTTACATTTTCAACCTTAACTTATTGTAAGGCTCAGAAGTACTATGTTTTTCATGAAATGCTTTAGATTATATTTGATCCATCGGCTCTCAGCTGATTCAATATAATTAAAGCTTGCTACATAAACTGTATCACTGATATTGGACAACCTGAGTTTTGGAAATCCAGGGTTCAAAGTATTCAAAACAAAAGTAACATCTGCTAATAAATCAGTTTATATGTGTTAAGACACATACAGTTGTGAAAGTGATTGAGGGAAAGTAGCAATAATCAGAGCAAAACATGTGATGGGATACTTTTAGAAGACAATAAAGTGTGTTATCGCGACAGGGGAAAAGTTGTTTTGCAGTGATACAGGCTCATAGTTTTGCAAATGAAAAGGGACGGTATGTATTGACACGTATTGTGCAGTGCTGCAGACATTTGTGGTACTGAACTTCAGCCATCTGGTTGTCCTAGAGAACATAACTAACACAAAACACATTGCTCACAGGTGTGCTCATGCTGACCCTTACTTCTCAGGTGAATCGTCCTGGTGATGCAGATTATTCTCCACTAAACTCCGACTCAGGGAGTCAGCCTGGCTGCCCATGCCTCTCTTGTCCTGGGCAGCCAGGCCGTGGGACAGGCCGTCCAGAGCTGGGTTGAGGGACCTGGACATGTAGGTGTCTGCTGAATGAGGCCTCTGGCTAAAGGGGGAGGTCGGGCAGGGGGACAGGCGGTTGATCAATGGAGTGAGCAGGTCAGATTGGCCCGCCTTGCTGGGCTTCACCAGGCGGTCCACGTGGATGTTGAGGGTCTTCTGCTCGAAGGCGCAGGAGAAGGCCCCCGGAGAGACATTCTGCAGCCAGGAGAGCAGGGACAGGTCCAGCTCATCACAGCCATTCCCACAGAGCAGATCCACACCGAGCAACACCTCCCCCTCTGTGATCGCCTCACCAGTGGCTTTACTCTGAAAAATAGAAGCAGAGGAGTTTTCGTTGAGTTTTTGTGTATGACTTTCAAATCAAGGCTGAAGACTTTTCTTTTTGCCGCTGCTTTTAATTGATATATTCTTATCTCACACTGCACTATAACTTTTATTCATGTACATTTGCTTTCATGTTTTATTATCTTTGCTTTCAAATGAGTGTTTTTAAATGCCATTTTATAATATGTTTCTTAATGCTCTTGTCTTTCATTTTTGTAAAGCACTTTGAATTGCCTTGTGCTGAAAGGTGCTGTATAAATAAACTTGCCTTGCCTATGACGATTTTGAAACATGTAAGGAATGTTTTGTAATGTTTTATAACAGCTTCTTTTATTTGCATATTGACTGGTTAATGTGCCATTTCATTTGTGTTTTACGACAGCTGTATTTGTCTGCCTGTATTGTTTTGTGTTGTTCATGCTGCCCTCGTGGCCTGGTCGCTCTTGAAAAAGAGATTCTAATCTCAATGAGACTCTTACCTGGTTAAATAAAGGATATATATAAGAATGCAATCAGATCTGACATGTTGGAAAACTTGAAAAGTCAATTTAATAGGTTTAGCGAGGTAGCATTAGGTTTGAGCCTTTTAACATCTAATGAATGTTACCCAATTCATTTTCAGAGTGTCACATTACCTGACAGAACTCCACACAGCACTCGTACAGAATCCCTTTGATGAGCAGCTGGAAGAGACGGTTCCCGCTCGCCCTGAAGCCTGCCTCGCTCAGCTTCCTGTCGGCGGGGATGAACTCAGCCACCATAGCACAGGCTTCTTCGAAACAGTGGACCCGTGCCGTGCTGGGGTTCCAGTCTTTGAACTCTGCGTGGTGGGTGAGGCGTGGCAGGGTGAGGAGGAGACAAAGCTTGCTGTAGTCGTCTTTGGTCGGACAGAACTCCTCCAGACTGTGAAGACACTTGACTGTCGCTTGCATGGTAAGCTCCAGCTGAAGTAGACGTACAATTCAAAAAGGAAATGTGAGTAAGTGGCTGTAAGATGCTCTTTTTGCTTCATAGTCACACAGCTGTGTCAAATCTATTCAATCACACTCACACCATTGGATCTAATGAGACTATTTTCAAATTGCCAATAATCATACTTGGTTCCTTATTTCATATTCACGTACGTTTTGAGGGTCTTCAGCAGCAGACATGGCGTTATTTACACACAGAGCTTCTAGAAACTTCTGCTTCAGTATAATGTAGCGGAACCTGAAAACACAAATCTCAGTATTAAAAAAATGACTTTGTATGACATGAATTCAATAACTCCAATTGGACATTTCCTAGGCTGGATTGTTTTTGATAAATCTGTCAATGAACTAGGATTAGGGATGTCCCGATCCGATCACGTGATCGGGGATCGGAGCCGATCACGTGATTTTCACGTGATCGGGGATCGGGAGAAAAAAATCGGGGATCGGAATTTCTTTTTTTTTTTTTTTTTTTTTTATAAAATATTTTTATACATTTTATTTAATGTTACAAAACAAAAATGACCATGTTCACGTCTTAAAGTCATCCTGAGGCCTTAGTTTTGGGTTAAAATTACACATCATGTATGTGTTGCTTCTTTTGGGCTTGTTTTCATAGACCTGGTTGCTTATTTCTCTCAAATCTGGCAACAGAGTGGGCGCAGTGTCTAATAGTAGCAGTAAGCTAACGAGAGGCTACGTTCAGCTGGTGACTCGGGAGTCGGGACAGAGAAAATGTCAGGAGTTTGGAAGTATTATAAAATTGAAAGCGAAGGCAGTGTAACAGCCAGATGCAATGTTTGCAAGGCGGAGGTTCCGCGTGGTGGAAAGAACAGAGCTACGTTCAACATGACCAATCTAATACAAACACCACCAACAACAACACGACGAGTACACAGCGGCCACTCAGGTAACGGCACTGAAACAACCGACACTTTCAGAGACTTTTAAAAGGAAAGAGAAACTACCCCAGAACAGTGAAAAGGCCAAAAAAATAACAGCCAAGATAGCTGAATTCATCGCGTTGGATGACCAGCCGTTATCTGTTACCTTTTTTTTCCTCTTAATGCATTGCATAAAGATCGGATCGGGAAAAATCGGTATCGGCAGATTGTCAAAATCAAATGATCGGAATCGGATCGGGAGCAAAAAAAGGTGATCGGGACATCCCTAACTAGGATGATTTGTGCTGAGTGTTTGGTGGTTAGAAAGAAATAGAGGCCGTCAGAAAATGACATGATCATGCCACTGCAGTACTGAGAATCACCTAATTTAGGTCCCTAGGCTACCAGTGGCCTGCTTAACTCGTAAGTCTACACTCAGTCACTTTTTAAGGGAAACATTATCACAACTCCACACAAAATTAACAAGCTACAAGCATCCTACAGCTCTAGCTCCAAGAGTTTCAGGTAGGTCTCCTCCTGATAATGTGATAGAATAAATACAAAATAATCTGCATGTCATGTTAGAATAATTCCCCACATGATTTCTCTCACCTTTTCTTTTCAAACTTGTCCATTCCTTCCAGAGGTTGAATGAACTGCATCACCTCCTCCCACTGGCCGTCCAGAATGAGTTGTCTGTTGAAAGCAGCACATTAACAATTGAGGAGGACTCTAAAAATCCTGTTCCCATCACAGTGCAGTCAACCACAGAACCAACCCAGATCTTAAAAATACAGCACTGCCAGATAAAACAAAAAAGTCTAATTTTCTCTTTAAGGACACGAGAATCATCTGTTATCCAACACACAGGTCTGCTGTACAGTTGTACCTGAGGAAGAGCATGTCGTCAGAGTAGAGTCCATTGATGACGCCGCTCTCCTTCTCTAAGGCCAGCATGCTGATGTGGAGCTTCCTGGAGTTCAGGAAGTCCAGCATCAGCTTGATCACCTCCGCCTCCTTGATGGCGATTGTCTCCTCTGCCGTCATGGTTACAGATATTTGGTCGCAGCTTACACAGCTGGATGAAATACACAGAGAGAGAAGAGGAGATGCTGACAATGTTGCATCAATAAAGAAAGAACCGTTAATGGTTCATAAACAGTAAATTATCTAATTAAACCCTAATACATGGATTGAAATGAATTGGTGAAATCCCAGTTTTTAAATTGTTAGTTGTTTAGTCATGTGATATCTTTTTCAATTGTTCAGGAATCTCAGTTTATAAATATCATGCAATCTGGCCATATGTTTTAAATGTTCTGTCAAACGTTGTAAAACGAAAAACACAAGCTAGGTATTGGACTTAAGAAAAAGTGCAGGCAAGTTAATTAGTGACCAAACAATAATAACTGTTCTGATATGAGTCACTTATTATACATCATTATCTATGTGTGTGAAACAAAAGAGAGTGCCCTGATAGGTTAACAGTTTGAAATCAATGTTAATGATTTAAACACTGACAAATGGTCATTCTTTATATGACACAAATGCAACCAATTACAATACACTCTTATGGTTTGAACAGCTGCTCAGTAACAACACTAACCTGATGTTTATTTAAAATCAACTCTTCTAAAGGAGCTTCTGATGTCTCTGTGCCTGCAGTTTGTTAAAACGGGATCTTACGGTGATGAGCATTCATTAAAATTGTAGTGGCTTGCAGTCCACTAAACATTTAATAACAATAATTTGCTCTGAACGTAAGAGTATCTTCGATGCACCATAAGGTGGGGCTGTAAATAGTTAATCACAGAAACATCACAGAGGCAGCTACAAAAACATGATGCATCTTCATAATGCATGATCCTCTTGCCCTGTAAGAGCAATACGAGGCTAAGGGAGCAGCGATGCCCCAGAGGTGTGTGCGTGTGCGTGTGCGTGTGTGTGTGTGTGTGTGTGTGTAGGAGACTGCCGGTGACACCGCCCTGTTCCAGTGTTCCTCCCTAAACACAGAAACAACATCCAGCTCTGTGCATGTGACAGTAGGTCTGCGGCCCAAACCGACAGCCTCAGCACTTTATCTGCGCTCACACACACACCTTGTTTACCTAGAGTATGACACCACATAGCGCACACACCAACACCAGTGACCAGCATACAGAACGACAAGAGCTAATGTCATACATTTCCACTCTAATGTGCAGAACTTCGCACATGGCTACACCGGACGGTGCAGGCTAACACGCCGTCTTGGATCCGTGCCAGCTCCTCACCTGTCAGGCTGCGCCAATAACACGCCGCATTAAAGCCGCTCCAAACCGTCTGCAGTCTCCAATGGTACAGTATGTCCGAAGAAGGAAACAGGAATTGGGTGTTTGAATGTTGAAATCCCGGTCAGCGTCTCCAAAAGGTCCCTTCTTCCCTCTCTCTTGTACACAGCTCGCGGTTGCCATGCGGACGCAGCCGCAAACCACCAATCAACTGTAGTGATGACGCCCTGCAGTCACACATACAACACGGCGATACAAATAATAGCACACCTTCAAAAAGGTGTTAGGCTTTTATTAAGCTCACTCTAATTGTGGTTTACAAGACACCTAATATACTAAATTAAAATGAATTACAACCTACGCAGCGTATTTAGGTTTTATGACATAATTATGGGCCATTCTACCGAATTGATGCAAAGTCAAGTTGGAACAGTTTTGAAATTTTGTAGCCTATGTTTTTTTCCCAAAACTTTGTCCGTATATATTTTGTACCATATCTAAATTACACATATCTAAAGAACCGTACATTTTTATATCTTATTTTCAGACTGTATTGGAATGTTCTTCCTCTACCAAAATTGGTCAATACCGAAGCATAGTAGCCTACATACACTGTAGTAAAAAAGTATTATATTAAACTGTTAAGATTGTTTTACCTTCCCTTCTCTAAATAGTATTTTAACAAATATTTCTTGAGGGTTTTCACAATTAAATCAATGCAATTTAATTTTTAATACAATTTCAAAGTTCAATTTATACAATTCATAAAAATCACAATGCAATTTTTCTTTGTAAAATGCATAATACTGATCATATTGATTCCAGTGTTGATGATTGTTGAAATTGAACATACATTAAACCAATCAGTATCATATCATTTTATTTGATAAGTCAATATAGTTTATTTTTTACAAAACATCCAGTGTTTCGGTAGTGACCACAGTATTTTGTTCTCAAGGTTGTATCATATTCCCTCAACCTTATTGCTTAATCTTAACTCATAACATGCCTTATGTTGAAGTGTGAATGTTTGAAGCTACTGACCCAGAATCAGCACTTTAGTAACAGGCTGAAATAGAGGGGAATGAGGCTAGAATGCATGATCTGTTTGGTATTTTGAGCAAAACACTTCATAGACATGTTTTTATATATATCTGAGACCTATAATATATGCCTAACAATAGTATAATAGGAGACCTTTAAAGCCACACACTGATTTTCAGAATTTAAAACACATTTATTTCAAAACTATGGGATTTACCTGCTTACCATTCACTACATGGCTAGCATACACGTTTTTGAAGAGGTTTACACACATAAAAACATAATACTTTGCATAAAACTCTGAAAAAGTTTACTTAATTGAAGATAATAATTCGGTTCGTTGTGTTCGGTAGTGACAATTCTTAAGGTTACACGCCGATTTTCAGATTTTGGAACAGATTTATATAAAAAGTATGGGATATAGCTACTTGCCATTCAGCCATGAGGGACAGGGATGCAGTTGGTGCGTTCACACCGGAGTACTTTTCCCACAATAGTTCATCAGAACTACGATATATTTGCGTTCACACCAAAAAGCCCCAGGAACTAAATTAGTTCATCAGAACCATTTTTATCCCGTCACTGCCTTGTCAAAAATGCAGGGGTGTGGCTAAAAACCAGGCTCAGCCATTGGACTAAAACCCATTGTGTTGAAAACTGATTTTTTGAGTATAGTTTTTTTATTAAAAAATTAAACCCACAATAAATCTAAATATTCCAACTTCTGTTTGAATGTAATCATACAGATCTTCTAAATACACCATTCAACAAAATAAAAAATAAATGTTTTAAGTGTTATTTACAGAACATGAAATGTAGATGTCAGGGTTGGCGACAGCTACTTCCCAATAGAAAGTACCCTATAAATGATGTTTTTGTATATATTAAGCTAATCACTATATCATTGAATGCCTTATGTTTAAATAGACCATAACATATTCTTAGTAAATATCTATGTCTGAATACTTAATTGTTTTGTTAAATAGTTTTTCTTGTTGTGGGACCGCACTTTGCATCAATTCGGTAGAATGCCCCATATACATTCGAGCCCTCGCACTTCTATTGACCTAAAAAATAAATGAGCATTTTCGGTGCTAAACCTTTATATATAGGCCTACAGTCTATGTGCTAAACTTACTCAAATTATTAATGTGTCTTATGTGGCAATCATAACTGATGTGTCATGAATTGATAGCATTTGAGTAGGCTAATAGGTGTGTCCTATTCGTCCCATTTAGTCATACAGTGATGTGAAATGAAAGTTATTGAAAAAATCCAAGAGTTTCAGTTAAAAAAAATCTGTTGGCTATTTCATAAAAATATTTATATAAAATAGGAAAAATGCACTTAAATCATATAGGCTACAAATAGTGACTCTCCTACTCGTATACTTTAGTTATACAATGCTGCAATGGATTCAGAGTCACTGGGCCATATGATATGGAAGCTATTGAAAATAAATAAGACTTTTCAATTTTGAGAATGCCTTACATTTGATACTGTATCCCCAGAACGAAAGTGCTGATGTATTGTTTTTGCAAAATGTCTACTGTAAAAAAAAATGTAACAACTTAAATAACAAATTAAATCCCAAACGTCCTAAAAGTAACCCATATAAATAATATAAATCCTCCCTTGTTTGATTTTACAATTAAAACCAAATAAATGCTGAGACCATGCTTAGTTTTATTGAATGCCAAAAAAAGACAAAAACTAAGCAAAAATTCAACTTCAATTTCAGCAAAAAGTTGAATGACAGCACAGCGTCTGACAAACAAACAAATTCATCCTAGTAAATTGGTACACTTTCAAAGGAACATACTGTACAATATCATTACAGTTTAAATAACCATTCATCCTGGCCTTAAACAGCCATAAGCAGGTGGACAGAGCTTCTGTGGATAAATCCTTCGATTAAACAACAGGGAAACACTCCGTAATATATTACATTTTCAATGACATCTACATGCTCTGTTTTGGTCATAATATCCCTTCAGTCATAAACAAAGCACCCTGTCAGCAGATTCCATTTTTCCATACCCGTATGCAGCAACAAGTTTCTCACTTATTCTGCCTTTGCAAATTTAATCTTTGAAATCTAATAAAATGACTATATATCTGGCCATTTTAGGACATGTTACATGTATGCAACATAGAAAATCATCTAATGCGTAGTTTGGGTCAACACACATTTCTGAATTTAGAGCAAATATGAATAAAGGTGTTGAAAATGACAATCATAATAAAAGTTTGGCCATGTTCATTAATCAGGCAAAAATTGCTGTGATGTCTTTTTCTTTTAATAACAGAGCAGAATTTGAAAATGTAAATCTTTATTACATTTTGTGTTTGGTGGATACCTTTACCAAAAGTGCCTAAGAGTAACATAAGTGTAGACTTTGTTAGGATAGTTGTGAATCTGAAGAATTTAATAATGTTGAAAACAAAGTACCGGTAATAGTACATTTTTTATTTGAAATCCTGATATTGCTGTGAAGAGAAAAACCTCTTACTGTAGGTTATGACCTGACATTGAGTCATATTCCTGATATCAGTGGGTGAAAGTTGAATTGTACAACATAATATACTGCAAAGATCCTACATGGTGCATTAGGCAGCATTTCAAAATAGAATATAAATAATACTGAAGAGTTTAATTTGTTCACAATGTGCTCTGAAACAGCAGCAAAGTGATCTCAAACACTGGTTCTCTGCCTTTTGTGGCTGACGCAATGCCAACCCCAAGTGAAAAGCAAGCACTGTCCATCAATTTGACTTGATTGAATACGTCTACTACTACTGTATATTTTGAAAAAGAATAATACAAACATGACAGCATATTTGTATATAAGAAATATACACACATCATAAGTTAAATTGTCTGCATGTGTCCCTACACACAGGTTGAGAACCAGTGATCTAAAGTAACTTCCTGCATTGTTTAAAATCACTTTCTTAAAAAGGGGTTTGAAAAAAGCTGAAACCGCTTAGCTTTGTTGAGTTGAACACACATTAACTGTGTTGCTATTACTAGCTGTATGCAATTCATTTTTTGGCCCTTTGTAGTTTAACGTACCTTAATATACAAACTGTTCAACCTACAGAGATGACAAAAAGTGTTCTTCCAAATACAAAAAAGCCTCTGTATACGCTGTCTCGCAAACACCTCATTGCGCTCACACGCTAAAACAAACGCGTATAAGGCCCCACAACAGGATAATGCACAACATAAATCAATCTGTACATGAATTCAAAACATTCAGTGCTTCGTTAAAATGTCCTGGCATTCATACTGTCTCTTTTTTGACGTTTGGCACATAGGAAAAACAACACTCACACATGCCTTCATAATTAGACTTAAACATGTAAAATCTCTAAAAACACAGCTGTGATAAGCATTTACATCATTCTTAAAAGGTGGCATACATTCCAGTTGTTCATAATCTTTGAGTCCTATCATGTCCAGTCCATAGTAAGTAGTAAAGACAAGGACAGGAATGCAATAAGAGGATAAAACAAACACACATTAATAAGACAAGTATGCATTCATCTAACTGGCATTGCAGGTGCTTGAATCTTCATGGATATTTACAGTGAAGTGCAAATTGAAATGGGTATGTTCCATTTGAGGGGGGAATGGTGAAGTCGGGGGTATCAAGTTCCATTAGGACTGGACAGGCACTACTTTTTTAGGGGTGGCGGGCTTCTTGGTGTGCCAGAGATGGCTGTGGATGGTGACCGCGTCCACGCTGGCTGACATGGTCTTAGCTGGAATCTGACTGAACTGCTTCTTGTCCGAGTTGTACTTGTAGAGGCCGTCGATCATCTTGCGGGTGATGCTCTTGGGGCCGATACCTGTCAGCTTGTTGATCTCCTCCATCTCGGGGCAGCAAATGTAGAGAGAGCGAAACTGACAGCCGCCATCTCGGAACAAAACCAAGAAGTTGCTGGCCTCGGATTTCTCCATTTCCTGTTAATGTCAGGGGAAAAAGCTCATTAGATCATGTATACTGAAGGAAAGCAACCCTATATTTGTATGTACATTTCCCTTGGTGGACTAGCCATACAATGTGTTGTATGTCACTGTGATGGAAGAATAGTTAACTTAATATAACTTGATGCATTTGTTTGAGTTTGTACTGTTTCCTGGTTATAGAAAAAA